ATATTTTTCCACCTTAATTTTTCAAATCATAAATTTTAATGTTATCACTGAATGATTGAATATAAGTTTAAAAATAGTGTTCCTTTAGGGCAATCTTTATGGTTTTTTAACCAGAGGTCCTAAGTCCAATAAATAGTGTTGATATTTTACTCATTGTACTATTGTAATTCTGTTCAAAAGAATAGAATTGGTTTTTAATCTTTACAATCATGTGAGATATCTTTATATCTATGAGTGTGACTCCATTAAATTTTGTAAATCTTCACTTATGATAAAAGAGCTATTGCTCAAGATATAAATGTTTTGCAATTTTTAGATAAAGATCTATATAACTACTTGTTTCACTTTATCTTATTTCCTTTCCATTTATAGGAAGTCTAGCCAACCATTCCTACAAACAAGAATTCACAAGGAACCAATGTGACAATTTTCCGAATGCATCTGAATTTCTTTTCTATACTGGGTTTTGCAACCATTTTATAAAGTTTTATTTTTTTCGTTTACATAAATTAGGACAAAATAATAAAAGTTCAGTATATTCATGGTTTATTATTAGGACATGTTCACGAACGTATTTTTTCTTTTTGTTTTTAGCCTGTTCCCCAAATTTAATAAGGACCTAGATATTTTTCTTATCCACTGTTTGATATATATACCTTTATATAATTTAATTTTGTTTGTATTCTTGCCTCTCATTGGTTGATTTCCAAAAAGGAACACATTACATTTTGTATAATCTGGTTTGGTATGGGGACACACCCCCTTGACAACCAGCTGAATCATCTGTATCGATCAATCCCCTCATTTCCAGTCCTTGGGATTCATGGAAAATTCCAGATTTAATGAATGTACCTTTAACTTCAAACAGTAGCTCGATCTTACCTCGTGTAAACAAGCATCATGGCTGCTAGATCTATGTATCAGTTTTTACCTCCCCTCGCTTCCTATCACTTCCGTTACTACGGTTGTATTATTGCGCGGTAAATTTGAACTCATAAAAACAACACAATTTTACACCCCCAGTTGTTTAATTATTTTAAAATTAAATTATAAGGAATGACTCTAATTCTTGGCCAAATTATCGAGTATAATATGGTTTGGGTCTGTTTACGCTTTACGCTTTATAATCCGCGAAGCGGATTATAAAAAAGCGTAAACTGACCCAAACCATATTATACTCGATAATTTGGCCAAGAATTAGAGTCATTCCTTAAATAGATAATGTGGTCAAATTGATAAATTTCTATACTGAGGGTTTTTTGAAACAATATATATAAGATCACATCATGTCTGAATTAATTGAGTTGTATGATTGCTTGCCTATGTGATGCATTTTTAAATTTCAACATTTAAATGTGTTCATTGTGTGGTAGAGGGACAAAGAAAGGGCGAAACAGATGTATCAAATTTTTACTCTATATTCATCCTTTCTAGAAAGAGAGACGCCTCAATGTGACTCAAACGTATGCATGTGTATTTTATTTCATTACTGAATGGGACGTAAACATTACATTTCGGTACTGAAACGTGCTCGATATTTTCAGTGATACACTTGTGGATTATCTTATTACATCGAAGAAAGTTTAGGAAAGGAAGGTGGACTGTTAGTACTCATTCCTATTCAAGATCATTGTAAGGTCATCCCTTACAATATTACAATGTAGTCCTTCAACCATGAAATTAGAGGGTGGAAAGAGACAACGAACTTCTTCCCTGTTAAATATATCTGTCTGTCCATCTGTTTGTCCAAATGTCTGTTAGTTTATAGACATAAAGATCAAGCACTCAATTCGATTCGCGTCAATGTTTTTTTTTTTTTCGGAATAACAAAAAAACAAAAGTAGGGAATTCTTTGCAGATGTTTTTTTAATGCTTGTCATCTCCTCGCACCGGAGGTGTAAGGGATAAAGTTCTAGTGATGCAAAATATGTTTCTTGTTTTTGATTACCTAGTGTGCATCTACAACCTTTCGTTAGACGTATTTTCTACAGCGGTTGGCACAGGGTACACATGTTTTCTTCTCTTATGAGAAAGTTGTAGTCGTCCTGTTTTACGTGCAGAGAAATAATCTGAAATATGGTATACATTTGTTCGACTAGGAACCAAACTATTTTGATTGTAAGATCTATCTCCATTCATACATGTGTATTTCTAAAGTATAGAATTTAACGTATATCTTTTGTTTCATGTCGGTTATATTTGTTTAAAAATGTTTTGTGGAAATATCTGGAAAGAAAACGGATTTCTAATATAGAGTAAAAAAGGACTTATGATAATTAAGCAGTATCATCAGTATGACAGGTTTTATTCATTTCCATGTTTAATGTACATGAGTACACCAAAGTGACTTAGACACCCCCTTCTTTGCAATTGACTTGCAAAATAATTAAACTAATTTTTAAGCTTGAATAAAGCGTGGGAAAGTGATTGAAAAGTGCTTTTATTTGTAGGATGCCAACTCAGAAAAAGAAGCCATTAGTAGCTGCAGCACTACTTTCGGTTCAGAACAGAGATCCGGGCCCTGCTCCAGCAGGAGCGCTGTTTGGTCTTTGGTGGTCACAGCTCTGGTCATCCTTCTTCTTGGAGCTGCATGTGTTCCTCTCATCCTATACTTAATAGAGGAAGGTAAGACAGGCGTGAATTTTCTATTTTCTCTTCAAACACGGAAGTTTGATAATGATTTATACGTATTTTTTAATATCATAACTGGGTTTCAATTTAAATGTTTCATTTAAAAAAAAACATAATTTCGACATATTTATATTATTTTAGTTAGATATATTTATGTTTTTTTATTATTTTATTTCAGATCAATTCAAATATTGTAAGTATAGCATATTTATTTTACATTTCACAATGTACAAACAATTACTGTAATAAGAAAACAATATGAAGCTTTTTTTGAAAATGTGAAACCCTGTTAGACCTCTAATTCAAGTACATACTCATGATATAGTTTAGTGAAATGATGCTTAATGAAAAATACTGATTTTGTAGATAGGGCATCAGCTACATTGAGATTAAAGGGGCAATACGACAAGAGGCTTGGTAACCTTAGTAGTACGATATCTGAAGAGTTCCAGAAGGACTTTTGCAATACGGTATAACATATATTATAGATTAAACTGAAAATATCAATCACTACAGATTCAGATAATCATTTTCAGAACTTCTGAGTTGTCACGATTATTTAACCTTGATGAGTTTGCACATTCTCTAATAAGCGATATTTATGTTGGTCCAATAGATTACAATTTTTGAGTTGATCAAGGATAAGTTTAATAATTGCAAAATGCACGTTGCTGTGATGCTTGCAGAGAAACGATACAGTCTTTAGTTCTACCCTGACCTTTTCCGTTTGCCTTGAATATACAAAAATTAATTCGAATGGGATTCCCCAAACAATTTAATCCGTAAAGTTTTATTTTTTAAAAGAGAAGCTTTTAATTAATGTATTTTCGTGCTTAATTTTAACATACTGTGGTTTCATCAATATTCGTTGAGCACCAATTTTCGTGGATTTCGTTGTTGAGCAGATCCACGAATTCGAATGTTCATTGAATTACGAAATATGACATTCATTTCTATGGGCAATGCTTTTGTCCACGAAATTACGTATCCTCGAAAACGTCTGTTTTACAAAATCCACGAAAATTGATGAAACCACAGTAGTATGCGACAAGAAAATGTTTTCGAAGGGCATCAACTCAACTCATCCTTTAAATTGACAAATTAATTTGAATTGGAATTCTCAAACAATCTTTCAAAATTTAAAGATTTCAAAGCCTTATGGCACAAAACTATCAACCACTGACTGTCAAGCAAGTAAACAATACTCTGATATTGAATTAAACCATGTCAAAATAGTAAATGATTAACAGAGAGAAAGTTTCAAAAATTTATTTTCCTTAGCAGTAGTGAATTAACATAGATCGCATTGAATTCTATGCAGGAAAGAAATTTTAAAAAAAAATTCCTTTTGAAACTGATTTTTTATTTTTAAAATTAAAATTGAGGGAGATAACTCATACCAAAATTCATAAATTAGGACACATCCCACCCTTACATGATAAATTGCTAATAGTAATTAATGGAAATTGTGTCTACATGTAAATACACTGATTATTCAACACCCACACATCTGTTATGTATTTTATTTCATTAAAACTAAATATATTTAATTGAATAATTGGAGATAGAATACCTTAATAAATCAAAAACCCTGCTATAGTGAATTATATATGTAGTTTTCTACTTTAGAAAAATCTATATTCTTTCTCTTTTATGTACAACATTGATTATTGTAATTGTGACTACTTATTATGCACATTTTACAGATGGGGAATACACAGAAAAATAGATACAGCAATGACTACACAGGCTGTTTAGTAACAGAAATACGGTTTGTAAAACATAGTCAAACATTTAATTATATATCATGCATCGTGTTTAAAGGATAATCCTAAATATAATCCATGAAATATAAGGAAAAATGTATTTTTGAACATATTGCGCTTCTTGAACTAAATGTCAGTGACTAGATGTGTTACATCTAAGAATGATCAAAAATGAATTAGCTATGGTCTTCAAATCTTGAAATTTTAAAATTTATCAATCATAGTTACTTCCATACATGTATTGTGATATATCCCAATAAACTTGAAAAAAAGAAACAAACCATGTCTTTCCATATCTAGATTTATAACTGACATACAAGTAGACGATAAGGGCAATTCAACACCGAAATTGTAAAACATACGAGATTTACCATCGTTGACTTTCAGACGGTCGAAATAATGATATTGTCAGCAAATGTAATTTTTCATTGAGTTAGATACTCACTGATGTTTTTTCAAACTAAGTGTTAGACCATTAATCAAGATTGTCAACAGAAAGCTTGAGGACATATTTTGTCAAATTATACAATTTTAAAAAAAATCATGGAAATATGACATTTTTCTTCTTTTAACAGGAATGGAAGTATAATAGTAAGCTTCTCAATGTTCTTTTACACAAAAGACCTCGTGACATCGGACAATGTTAAATCAGAAATAACCGAGTACTGGAGAGGGACGTCTCATAATGTGACTTTTGCTAATGTGTTCAATGTGTCAATTGAAATAGAAACATTAGATGTTGGAGTAAAACGAGAAGAACAAACTGAGTATGTAAATGCCAGATCAAGTTCGCAATTTGTCCCACCTTCTTCGATACCAACTACCGTCCAACCAACGACTGTGCCAACTACAAGTACTTTACAGAATGAAACTACTACGACAGAAAGCAGCATCTATTCTACGCCTATTGAAACAATAACCACTCAGGCTGACACTACAGCAAGCGATACGTCAACTGCTCAACCCACTGCAACAACAGTAAATACACCACCAACAACTTTAGAAGGAGATACTTCATCATTTCCTTCTTCAACAGTAACAACAGTTTTTGCTCAAACAACAATTTCAGAAAGCGAAACAACAGAAAGCAGTTCACTTACTTCCTCGACGATATCAACAGCTATGGCTACAGAGGATGATACTTCAGAGAGCAGTACTTCCACTGCTTCACTCACTACAACAACAGTTATCTCTTCATCTGATTCAACTCATCAGAGCGATAGCACTTATGCAGTCACTCAAACTTCTACAACGACATCTCCTCAAAGTACGTCGACATCTTCTACCAACTCTCCTTCAAGCAATACCAACAATTTCATTGATTCATCCACAGTAACAGGTACAAGTGGTCCCTTCACAAGCACAACATTTGATACCCAAGGCACAGAGTCTTCTACCGAAAGTCCAAACGAAACATCAGATGTAACATCAGACCTTCCAGATTCCACCACTTCCATTATAGAGGTTACGGATACAGTTTATACCTCTTCTTCAACTTCCAGACATACGACATAGATGTCACTATTTTCTGTTCCTTGAAATGAGAGACCACGTCAGTAAGTTGTTCTAGATACGACTTCTACAACCGTGAAATATTTAGAACACAGTACCACTTTTCAGATATGAGTTCTACATTTCCTTTACTTACAATTTCCTCCAGTACAATTGCTTCTACTACAACAGACAGTTCAGCATCTACGATGTACACTACTACCTCTCCGTGAAGTTATACATGTAATCTCAGATGCACTTTTAAAAAATTTCTTATATCTAACAAGTTAACAATTTTACATTGTAATGCAAGGAACAAAAATAAAATGCATTTTATTTAGCATGAGCAATATTTGTTGGAATTTGAATTTTCAAGTATGCGCAGAATTAATTCGGCGCTTTTCGAATGCTCTGTACGGAAATAACTACATGTATATAATTTTATTTAATTATCTTTTCGAAAGTAAAGAACTGGATATTTTCTTGATTCGAGTCGATCTTTCGGGTGAATTCTTCCTGCGATCAATTCTCCTACGATCAAAACGATTTTCTGATTTGGCATGTTTCGCGTAAATTTTAGTTCGGTAGATTCTGACGGTAGTTTCAGTAGAGTGGACTGTGAAGCGCCTTTTTATTATTTTTGAGGTATATTCTGATTTCATAAATTTCAATAATTCAAATTCTTGAAATACAAAAATAGATTTTTTTTATATCAGGAAATCATTTTATGATATAAAAAAATCGAATTCTTGATATCAAAAATGCGTTCCTAATATCAGAGATTCGAGTTTTTGATATTAAAAAAAATCTTGTTAATTTTCTATATCAAAAAATCGACTTTGTGATATGAGAACTGGTTTAGTACAAACATGGATATTGTGAATTCACTGATATAGTGAAGTTATCTTGGATCCCAAGCTATAAAAAAATTAACAAAATCCTTATACATTTGTACAATATACAATGAATTTTCGATATCATAAAATCCCAAAGATATTTTGATATCAGAAAATGTTTGTTATATCAAAAATTCGAATTATTTATATTAGAAAATGATTTTCTGATTTCAGAAATTCGAATTTTTTGTATTAAAAAATCTTGTTTATTTTCTTATATTTTTTTGATATCAAAAATTAATTTTTTTGATATCATAAAATTCCCAAGATATTTTGATATCAGAAAATAGTTTTTTAATATCAAAAATGTTTTGATATCAGAAAATAGTTTTTTGATATCAAAAATGCGAATTCTCGATATCAGAAAATGATTTTCTGATATCAGAAATTGGAATTTTTGATATAAAAAAAATCTTGTTTATTTTCTGATATAAAAATATATTTTCTGATATCAGAAAATGATTTTTTTATATCCAACAATCGCCTAGTGGACACTGTTTTTATCAATGGGGAAATCATTTTAAAAATGGATATTTATTTGCAAGGTATAGAAGGCAACACTTACATAATTGGACTTGAAATGTCCGTAAAATGCATCACAAGTGCATGTCTTCAAGAAAGTTTTTTTAGAAGAAAATAAGCAGGGGTGCCAAATATTATATTCTGATTTTTCCCCATAAAAACTATGCGCACTTGTGTATATAAAGGAAATTTGATTCGAAGAATTGTTGTCACAAAATAATTTCAGATTTTTAAAAACGCTCAGTTAAGATATTTCCCACTGAATATTAAGAATTATTTTTAATTGATATTTATAATTTTTAAGAGTTGTTTTTCATAATCAGATTTTTTTTCTTTTAAAGAGATTCGGATATCAAAAACAACCCTTATTGCATCTTTAAAAAAATTAAATATTCTGAACGATTTATATTCAAATTCTTTATTATTTCCCTCTGTAACAAAACATTAAAGCCTCGCCCGTCAGTCAAATAAATATCACAATACAATGTAATACATTAATATGCCACAACGTAACTGGTTTAAGTATTTCCTTTTTTTGTTACATAATCTACCCGTTCGCGTTAGACATTGATTAAAAAAATCAAAGGCATTCAGTCAAGCGTTAAGTGAACGAAACTGTTATTGTGGATTGTTATGAATTCTGGGACAAATATGTCGAATAGAAACATATTCGAATTAGAGGACAGAGGATTTAATGTTCCCCAATGGATCCAATATTTCAATGTAAGTGTACTTTGTGTAACCATTTATCTGCCGCCTTCTAATGTGAAAGTCAATATGTTTGTTTTCAGATTTTGACATGCATTTGAATATATCGATTTTTAAAGGCAAAAATAGCCATTCAATATTTAATACACCATATGCCTTCGCATTATTGTTGAGAACAGAAAAAATAGACTTTAAATAGAATATTGTGTATGAGAAATGAACATTTTTACTAGCAATGCATTTATATCCTACCTCCACTCTATCTTCCTTCTTCCACGTGATACTCCACTAATATTAGTTTTATGTATATTTTGTTTTCTCAATATGAAAGATATTTCTGTACATTATATTAACAAGTAGCAGGACTTATATAAAAGACATGTTGGGGTTTAATGCCTGTTTTAAGAATATAAGATAAATACAAAGCGATTGAATCACGTGTTATTATATTCTTTTAGGGGTGCATTCTTTATTTTTCTTTTTCACAAAAAAATTGAACCTTGCTTTTTAAGTCATTCCAAAGACAATGGGTTATCTAGAAATCAGGAAAGGAAACGTCGTTTTTAGGTAAAATGACACCTCTCTGGAGATATATTTGTTTGTTGCAAAGCCACTGAGATAGATAATTGGTATTAAGATAAAACATTACTGGTTATAGATATAAAACAGCCTTACGATTTTCAGACTATTACTTTTCGTTGGATTGGGCAGACAGTATCAGGGAAAGAGCCTCGATTTCAACTATCAGAATGTTAATATAATTTCGAACTTAAAGACATGACAGATAATTTAGAAACTTCGGTAAAAGATGACATTTTTTTTTCGAGGAGAGCTAAAGATAACATAATTTAATATCAACAAAAAAAACTAACTTCTTAAAAAACAGTCAGTCTTAACTCAAAATATGCCTATAAACTTGCAGTATTCTTGTTGTAACTTCCTGTAATGTAATCTGTCTGACTCTGATGAACGTTGACGACTGCGATATGACTCCGACTGCCTGTGAACGAGGGAAGTGACACCTAAAGGTATTATAATCCTAACTGAAGAAGACCTCGCCCTGATTTTACTGTCACAGATGGAAATTAACTTACCAATAGACATTTTTACATTTACTTTGAACAATTTCACAATGAAATTTTACATATCAGCTTATTTATATTTTCAAAATTGCTTCATCTGTTATATTTAGTGATTAAAAATTAAAATATTAAATCATGCTGATAAGCAAAGACTGACTTTATACTAATGTATTTATCTACCCAACGTTATTTTCAAATCATGAACTTAAATTTAATTACTGAATAATTGAAGTTTAGAGGAGAAATATTTAAACTTCTAAACGTATGCATAATTTTATGTATTGCAATGTACATATCATTGCTGTTTGTGACATAAACATTACATTTCGCTACTGATTATAGTCTTCCACCAGTGAAACCGTGGGAGAGTAGGAGAAAACAGCATCTGTCATGTAAAATTTGTCTGTCCTTCTATGTGTTATACTCAATCCGTTATTCTAAGGCATGTACAGACAACGAACAGTGTTCAAGCTCAGAAGTGCATTAAAAGATTTTTTTCGTAGGACGGTTGGCACAGGGTATAATTTTTAAGTTGTAGCTATCCTGTTTTTACCTGCAGAGAAAACTGAAATTATACATTTATTCGACTAAGAACAGAATATTTTGTTTCTAGCATTTATCTACATTAATTTTCTAAAATAAAGAGTTAAACATTAAACTTCTTTTTTCATGTTTTTTGAAGTGATTAGAGTGTTTAGTGAAAATATCTGGAGCGAGTAAATATACATGTATTTCTAATATAGAGCAAAGACGAGACTGCGATATTTAAGCAGTATACCAATAAGAGAGTGAGGTTTTATTCTTTTCAATGTTTTATATACCTGTACCCGACTACACCAAAGTGACTTACAAACCCCCTTCCTTACCTTGCAAAATAATTAAATTAAATCTTTTAAGCTTGAGTAAAAGATGTGAAAGGGATTGAAATGTGCCTTGCATTGTTTGTAGGAGGCCAATTCAGAAAAGGAAGCCAGTAGTGGCCGCAGCACCACTTCCGGATCAGAACAGAGATCCGGGTCCTGCTCCAGCAGATGCGCTGTTTGGTCTTTGGTGGCCACAGCTCTGGTCATCCTTATACTGGGCGCTGCATGTGTTCCTCTCATTCTATACTTAATAGAAGAAGGTAAACAAGGCGTGATTTTTATAGTTTCACTTAAACCATATGAATAATTTGACTTACACGTATATTTGTTATAATATTGGGTTTTAATACATATAATACACGCTTCATAAATGTTTGATTTGGTGTCATTTTAGATTCTTTATAATGTTTTTTATTTATTTCAGATCAATTCAAATACTGTGAGTTTGACGTATTTTTATATTGCACTAAATACAATATTTTTATATAGCGCTAGGCATTTAATCAAGAAAAAATACTGGAATCTAACACTCTTTGTTTGACAATAATAAAATTCTATTATTATACCTCTAATTCAAGTTTATATAGTTAATAAAAGATGATACAAAATGGATCATGTTGAACATTTCAGATAGGGCGACAGCTACATTGACGTTACAGGGCCAATATGACAAGAGGCTTGGTAACCTGAATAGTTCCCTCTCTATAGAGTTCCAGAAAGACTTTTGCAGAACGGTATATAAATTACATCGTGATAGATTACATATCTTACTTATAATGATTTATCAATATAAAATGATGTTTATTCAGTTTGACATCTTGTCTTACAAACTATTTGTAGTTTAATAGTTTAAAGTAAGGTAATTTACGACAATTTGTCAAACAATTGAAGTTCAAGATTTCTCTTTTTATGAATGATAGAATAAAAAATATGGTGCTACTGTAGGAACGACT